GCACTTTTCGCACTTTTCAGACTGTCTGCTGCCAAGTAATAGATTGCCTTCTGGTTCTCAGGCATGTTCTCGACATAATCATCTAAGCTTATCAGTTCTTCCTCACTTTTTGAAGAGTAGAACCGCAACAAGGGTGTTAGGCGCTTGTGATTTCCAGAGTCCTCGATGCATCCCAACTTTAGAAATCTGCCAAAGTTCTCCCATAATTTCTTGTAATCCTGGGATCAAGTTCAACCATTTTCCAAGTTAATAACAATTTTCAGCCTTTCAGGTGGAATTGAAGAATAAAACACAAACTTAATTGCTGCCACCAACCTCTTTATTTTCACTCTCAGAAATCTCTTGAATCATGTCAAATGTTTTCCGTACAAGTCTCTTTCTCATAATTCTTACCTGAAAATGGTGGACAGATTGAGATGAAGAAATAATACAAATATCCAAGCACATAGCAAGAACAAAGAACTAAATATTAACTGCTACAGAGATGTTCATTCACAAATTTGTAACAATAATAGCATTTCCTTCATAAAATGCATAAAGATAGTGGAAAAACTAAGGCTTACAATTCGACTTTCTTGAAGAATCTCTCGAGAAACGTTAAGAGGAAGATCATTTGAATCCACCACACCCTTAACAAAGCTCAGGTATCGAGGAAACTGCAAAAAGAATAAAGGTGTTACAGCCAAAGGTGTTACAGCCACAAACCATATTACCAAACAAATAAGCATCAACCCCAAAATGTATTTTCAACATTCCGGATGGTACATCACAAGTTGAATACCATCAATAGACCACTTTTATGCTGAACTAGCACAATCGTAGCAGAGGGAATTGACTATAACATCTAAACAAATCCATTGATGAAGGATAAAACAACTCTTCTTTAGATTAGAACATCTCATATCTAAAAGAATATTAAGGAGAATAAGTAAATTTAGGTTTTAGCCACACAAAAAAATTTCACTTTTGGAAAAAGTCAAAACTTTTTCAAAAAAGATAGAAAAACCTCTCAACTTTCAAATCAAAGACATGCAAATGTAAAGGATTCTTTAGGAAATCCACAAATAAATAAGGACAATTTTGTCCATTTTGGCTTCTTTTACAAAATTTCTCTCTCCTTTGTGTTTTTCCAAAGTCTCCCTAAGGAATACTCCATTTTCCAATTTAAATACAAATTAAACGGTCAACACCAGCATTGTTAATAATATACAATTATTTTCCATCATAAAATAAATCACAAAGGAAACTTAATGTGCAACAGTATATGAAACAAGGAAGATCACCACTAACATGAAACAAAGACGACGAACTAATGGAAGCTCAAATTCACATCGTTTTCCAATATATCGAAACTTACCAGTTCACCATCAAAATCATCTGAGATAAATATCCGTTTCACATACAAACGTATATTCTTTGTTTTTGCGTTCACTACATCCTCATTGTTAAGAGGCCCCATTCCAGGAATATAAAGAACACTCCTGAACTCCACCTCACCCTGCACAGATTTCAAAGTTAAAACTCCAAATCTGCTAAATTTTCTACCTCAACCAATATTCAAACAACAGACAATGAGACAAAGGGGGAGAGAGGGAGGGAGAGAGAGAGAGAGAGGGATAGAGGGAGAGAGGAAGAGAGCGAGAGAGAGAAACCATTTCAGTACCTCAGTGGTGAAGTGAGTGTACGCAACTGGATCCAAGAACTCACTAAAAGTTTTTTTGTAAAATTCATGGTACTCGTCTTTTTCAACTTCCTTTGGATTCCGCATCTGCAGAAGAACAAAAACAAAAACAAAAATTATATAAGAAAAGGCTATAAAATATATAACAAGAAAATACATACACATTAGGCAAACAGAGCATGCTGAATCTAAAATACATATACCATGACATCAATAACGCTATGTCTTCAACTCACCCATATAGGCTTCGTTTCATTTGCTAATTCCCAATCCCAATACTTCTCAGTTTTTGTCTTCTTTTTCTTCTCTCCCTGGTAAGAATCAAAGTAACTTATTTCACTGTATAAGTTGATGAGAAAAAACTACATTTCCCACAATCGGGAATCCTATGTCAATTACCTCTGGCTTTGGTTCTTCTCCTTCTTTTGGTTCTTCCTCCTCTTCCACCTGCCAAAAGTTTCCACTCAATGAGGACCGGCAAAAGTGCTAATTGCTTCATTATATGAACAATAGATACTTCTTAAGCATATAACTGTGAGGTATAGAAGAAATATAGCCTCAAGGATTAGTTTGCAAGGTCAAGCCAATAAAGACTACTTATCCAGAGAGTCACATTTTGATAGCAATACTTTTCTGATTATCACCTACAATGTACACTTGACATGCATCTTCAACTAATCAAGAAGTAACAGTCTAACCATTTAGAAAAAGATGAACCACATGCAGAAATCCAATTGTACTAATCCCTTCAAAACCTGCCATATAGAGGGAAAGGGTTTGACAAAGCAGAAAATGAAGTACTCACCTCAACAGTCCTTGATTTTTCTTGCCATGTATAGATGGGGAAGGAAACAAACTGCGAGTAATTCTTCACCAAACCCTGGATCCGGGCTGGCTCTGAAAACTCATACTTGTCATCCGGCTGCAAGGAGAGATTTAACTTTAAGATAGTTCTTGGTAAGACATCAGAATAAATTGAAAAATAAGCAATAGACTGTCCCAACAAAAGATAATGACTTTAATGTGTCAACATCTGGCAATTGCTGGGCATAACTTCAACGCCCAATAAACAAGAAAAGTCACATGCAAAATGACCAAACGCCATGAAAAGAGAAATGAAATAGCAGGTAAGGTACCCTTAAATAGAGTGTGATCTGTGTTCCACGGCGTATGAGATTTTCAGGATCAGTTTCTTCCCTAATTACATAAGAGCTACTGTCAGCCGCTGCTTCCCAAACATATTGCTTGTCTGACCTTGGGCTTTTTGTAGAGACAACAACCTGATTTTGTATAATATATACAAGCCAATTAGCAGCTACCCAGGAAAGCCATCCACGTTAAAAGCTCAGCTACAAGCAGATAGTTAGAAAAACGCATAAATAATTGTGAAAACACTACTGCACCTTCTCAGCGACCAGAAAAGCAGAATAGAACCCAACACCAAATTGACCAATTAAGCCATTGTCTGCACCAAGATCCTTATTTTCCTGCCAAAATATAAGGCAGAGAAGTAAGCTTCAAAAGCATCAAAAACCTCAAAAATCATTCGCACGGAAATAACAAACTGAAATATAATGCATTCAACAGATGCAATAACTAATGCCCAGTTGTGAGGCAAGAGAGAAAGGGAGAGAGAGACACCTTCAGAGCCTTTAAGAACTTTGAAGTACCACTCTGAGCAATGGTTCCAAGGCAGTCAATGAGTTCCTCTTTTGTCATTCCAATACCAGTATCCCTAAAAGTGAGAGAATCAGATTTCAATTACCTCCACTAATCCATCCAGGGGCAAAAATGAAGCAAAGATTTACAAAAACATACGTTATAGTGATAGTCCCATTATCTGGATCAGGTTTGATGCGTATCTGTAGCTCACCAGCATCTCCAAGCAGAGAGGGCTCAGTCACACTCAAAAATCTCAACTTGTCCAAAGCATCACTTGCATTACTGGAACAAGAAAGCACAATAAAGTCAACATATGGACCAAAAAGAAAGGCAAATACAAAACATATCATAGTGAGCAAATTATACGATACACATCTAAAATCTATGTGATTGAAAAGTTTAAAGAACAAACGAAGGAGCAGATTCTACAAGCAGAAATAGCATATCGTATAGGTGAGTCACCAGAATGACACGTTGCATTGAAGTTTATGCATATGCAGCTCACCTCACAAGCTCCCTCAGAAACACCTCCTTGTGGCTGTATAGACTATGAACTATCAAATCCATTAGGCGAGTGACCTGCAATAAGTTTCAATGTCATCAACTTTCGATTCCAAACTCAAAACCTAATAACCGAATCCTCTCAAGTAATGAGTACTAAGCCGATTAAAAAAATTATTTTCATTTTCTATCCAAAACAGTGACAAAGACCCATAATTTAGTACCAAAGCGTCCATTTTGATTGCGAGGAAACAGCAAAAATGCATAAAAGTCTATAAATTTTAGTCACTGGGTTACTACAATTGCAGAGCCGCAGTTGATGGATTCCAAAACCAAACAGAGAGTAAATAGAATTTAAAACTCAATTGAGTAAGAATCCAAAAGACCAAAAATTTATCGAAACAGAGAAAGGGATGCACCTCGGCTTGGTACTCGAATTTTTCACCGGGCGTATCGGTGGCTTCTTTCTCGGCAACCGCCGCATCACATCGAATAGATATTCCTCTGTTTTTGCTCTCAAGCTTCCACTTCAATCCACCGCAAGAGAAGCCCTTCCTGAGCCCATTTTGAGGAACAAAAGCACTTCTCAGGCTCAAGGCCTTCCTGGGGTTTCTGAGTGTGAAGGGAGATGAGGAAGGAAGCGAAGCTAGAGAAGCAGTTGCTAAGCTTCTGCTTAGAACTGGAGCCATTGAACCCTAAACCTAACAGATGTTGGGTTGGGGGCGATAGTTGTGTTGTGTCAAACAGAGTCTCAAAAGTGTAAAAACCCTTGTGACTTGGTGAGGGTTTAGCAGTTTTAAGTAGGAGGTTGGAGTGTTCTAGAAAGATCAAAACTTTGGGGCTTTTCCTTTTTGTTTGGACTCGGAGCTTTGTTCTGCGGAATTGTGAGGCCTATATTCTGCCATTTCAGCTACCACAACAATATCCTCTTCTTTTTTAATTTTTCTTTTCTTTTTTATTGCCAAAATTTGAATTTTTACTGGGAATTTGGTCATGTTCCAAATTTCCAACCCAATTAAATATCTAATTAATAATTAAAATGTTTGCAATAGCCACAAATTACTGCACAATATGACTTTGCATGTTGTGCTGATTGTATTAGCTTTCCAAGCACCAATTGAGGTTCAAAAATGGGAAGTAAAAGGCTTGAGACTCGAGTCACACTTGAAGAAATTCAAACTCAATTCTTTACATTCAATTCATGATCGTATGGTATATGGTCTCTTTTCTTTGACAAACATGGCAACATGTGTGATGGGGCTATGACAGAAATCCCTTAAAACAAGTATTGGATCTAAATTAGTTTCAGGCAGAACATGACCACGAAGTTAAATGTTTGATATGTTTGTGTTTGGACTGAAGATGGTGGCACGCCTACACAAAAAACATACTGAATCATTACAAGGCTTTTCATTTGGGCCTTAGAGCTAGATCCATAGGCTTAGAGTCCCGATTCAGAAAAAGGAGAGAGGCTGGAACACTGTTCAGTGTGCCCAGTCCCACACCACACACCATCTCCTCTGGGGTCATGTCTTGTGGCAATTCTCCCTCCTTTTGCTAACTCAACTCTATCAAACTAGTACAATATAAAACAGAGCTACAATTGACAGAGATGCCAACATTGTCAATGTATATTGTAGCTTATGTACCAAAACATTCAACAATACAGAACAAAGCAGCAATTTATTTTATCAGATATCAGATTGAGGAGACAACAGAAGAGAAAGAAGAACCCCATGAGGAATGGGGCTGCACGTGAGCCTATTACCATTTGATAAAACCATGGGGGAAAAATCATTCCCTTCATCCAAACATCCCATCAACCAAACATTTCAGTCTCTAAACAAATTACAATCCAAGTAGGAGCACTCAACCTTTCTACCTCAAGCCTCTAATGCTGCATGCTTCAGACAATCAACATTACACAATCCAACCGACCTCACCATATCTCCCAAGCTGCCACCATTGAATTTCAACTGTCATTGTTAAAGAAGAATTGTAAAGGAAACGAAAAGAAAATCGTTGATAGTTTAACTCACCGGTCGAAGCTGTTTCTAGCTCTCTCTGACTGATCTGTGCTATTTCTTGCCTTGCCAGATCGATCGGTGCTCTTTCTTGACTTCTCTCTCTTATCAGTGCTGGTTCTTGATTTCTCTCTGCCGTCTGTGCTCAGTCTAGATTTTTCTCTCTGCCCAGTGCTGGACCTAGACTTCTCTTTCTGGTCAGTGCTTGATCTGGCCTTCTCCTTGTTGTCTATGGTCTTCAGAGAAGACTCCAATTGATCTGCACTTGGTTCAGGTAAACTTTGAACACGTGGTAATTTCTCTATGGCAGATATGAACTTCCTGAGATGCCTCAAGTACTCTGGATAGAGTTCCAAATTACAATGGTTCCCTCCTTTAAGCCACAAAGGCTCATACTTCTCTTTGCAAAGCTCCCACAGTTGCTTACCATGGGAGAAATCCACAACTTCATCTTCAGTTCCCTACAAAATTGATCAACTGTATCAGTACTTCATGCATATTTTGTAAGAAATTCATTTAAATTATGCCTCTTTAAACGCACATATGCATTAAAACTGACAAAGTTTTGGACTTCATGCATATTGTAACTAATTTCTTTACATTTCTTTACAGAAATGTCAAGTGAAAGCATTTCAATTTGTGGAAGTCATAGAACGATAAATCAAAGTTCAAGCCGAACTGAAATGCAAGATAATGTAGTTCACAATCTGTAGACTAATTAGTTAGGCCATACAAAATGTGCCACAAATACTCAAAATCATCATACCAAGCAAGAATGAAAGGAAATTAATAGATGAAGACTTACATGAATTACCAGAACTGGGCAATTGACAAACGGGATCTTATCGATATTCTGCAGCAGAAACAAAACTCAAACATTCAACAACAGAGATCATTAAACCAATCATAAAAAAATAAAAATAAAAACTGATTTTGTTCAATGAAAGTGGAGGTGAAACCTTGTAAATGTCGAACCAGAATGTTTTCTTTACAGGGTACATCACTCGAAGGCCAGACAGTATAGGACTGTGCAGAACTAAAGCCCTCAAGTGAGGCAAACGAATAGCCAACTCCAAAGCAGGTCCACTTCCAACTGACTGTCCATACAATATGACGTCTTCCTCCTTTATACCGTACGTCTCTTCAAGGCATTTATATGCAGCTTCTATGTCTGCATAAGTGTCCTGCTCACTTGGCTAATTGATGAAGGTATATATACGTTAGCATATTATCATCAATATGCTTTTGATTGTTTACAGAAACTAAAGCATGTCAGGACAGTAACCTTAGCATAAAGATGCAGACAATGAACACTTGCCATGGTCTGAAATTGAAGTGTTACAAATGAATGTTGACTTGGAAATAGTTTGAGCAGATGGGGAAGTTTTGAGAAACTATAATTTCTTTTTCTTCTTTTTGGTTAAAACATATAAAATTAATTTATAGCCAGATGGTACTATTGTTTTTGCCAATCAACGGCATTCCATCATCAAACAAGATGTAAACAAACAGTCCTTTGAAAAATAAATGGGCTCATGACAGTATCAAATGTCATGTCAAACAGTGACACGTGTTCATTCACAACACTGGATTTGACCCAATTGATCTTAATTACAGAAAATTAGGTAGGCACTAGCTAGCTGGTCGAATTATACCTTTCCAGAAGATTGTCCATAACCAGAATAGTCGTACCTGCAAAATCATATAGCACCATGAAATCCCAACTGATAATAATGGTCTAGATCCTCACACCATTTCTAAATTATTTCATTAACAGAAACAAATTAAGTAACAACTCATTAAGAAAAAAATATATATATGGAAACTGACCCCATGAGATTTACACCAAGATGAAGACTAAGCTCAGTGAAAATGTGGTACATCTGACCTAGATCAGCAGCATTTCCATGGGAGTAAAGCAGAGTGAGAGAAGCACATGGGTTTTTGACAAACATGGCCACAATCTCATTCCCTTTCTTGGTGCTGAGCTTGACCACGTCCACATCATCTCTGGGATGAACATCAGAGATCCTCAATTTCCCAGTTGGTTCATCCACATATGTGCTATATGATGGAGGGTCTGGTGGGAAAAATGCAAACTTTGCAGCCATAGAAGATGTTGCAGACCCCATTTTTATTTGATCGGTGGAAGTTCGAAAAAGACTGGGATATTTAATATGGAGTATTAATTTGTGTGGTTTGGGTCATTGGGTGGCTAGCTGCAACAGGTGAGAATTCTACTGCATGGTAAAGTTCGGCTTTTTGCTTTGAAGCTGGTGTTTTGGTAGAAAACTATGTGCTGTGTAAGAGATGAAAAATATGATTTTGAACCATGGGAGCTTAGAAGGAATATGAAAGCTGTTTTAAAAGGTTTGTGTTTGATTTGTCTTAATAAAGAAAAGGGATTTTCCATTTGGTTTATAGAGAAAATGTTTGAATTAATTCCTGTTTTAAGGGTGAGTGAGTGAGTAAGAGAGAGAGAGAGAGAGAGAGAGAAAGATAAAAAGGACTAGACAAAGATAGACAGAGGAAGAAAAAGAAATTCTTGTCGGATAGCAGCAAGAGTGATTTCCCGATTTTATCTTTTTATTTATTTATTTAAATTAAGGCATATCAACATTCCCCATATGGAAAACAAATGAATAAATCACAAACGGAACAAGAAGAATAAAAGTTAATAATAATAATAATAAAATAGAACAGAATAAAATTTAAACATCATCATCCCATTAATTTATTTTCGTAGAAGGCCATTATATAATTAGTTAATTGTGATACGTTGGCTTTCTTTGAAATAAATGGGAAAATAAATGGGGTATCGTCGGCAAGTGAAAGCCAAATATATCTTGAACTGTGGAAAATATCCAAAGACGTACATTTTTGAGTCCCCACCCTGCATAATAGTAACCTCTCAACACCATCATGCAAAGGTCAGCTCTACAGGCAATACTGGCAATAAAAAAGATATTGCTTGCTCCTTCTATGTCCTTCATCCAAATCACAGTTTGGCATCTGATTAAAAATAATTTATCAAAAAAAAAAAAAAAAACGTGTATGTATATATCACACTGCGCTTGGCAGGAATATAGAAGCTCCGACTTACAAAAAATGAAAGTATTTTCCAACAAAAAAAACTGGAAAAAAAAAATTGCATAGTCCACTTAGAGAAATTAATTTTGAATATTGCTATTGCATTCCAAGGAGCGGACTTTGAAAATTGAGAGAGCAAGCAAAATGCAAAAAAAGTAGAAGAATGATGAAATTGTGGGGTAATTGATGAAAAAATAAGCAAAAGAACATGGATGAGTGCTGCGAGTGGGGGCTGAGTTCTAAGAGCGGAGGGAACATCAAATGATTGCATATTTGGGGCCATATTTACTTACCACCACAACTTATTTAAAAATATTTCATCTTCAACTTCAACACTTCAATGTAATGCCAAATTGCATGCCAATGCTCCCTTTTTTTCTTTTTTCTTTTTTTTTTTTTCTGGCTTTTTGGTTTTTGGACATCTGAAATACCTCATCAATAAAGATAAAAGCCCATCTATACGTACACAGATGGAAGCCCAACTACTAATATATTACAAGAACCATCAACCCAATAGAATTAAGCCTGAGGTTATCTCCAGTCATTGACCATAGGCCAAATAGCCCTAAAATAATATAAAATTCATCTCCAATCATTAGCTAAAGAAACTTTTAGTCAAATTTGGAGGGCTACATTTGGCCATTTAGCCCTCCAACCAGGCCACTTAGGTCATCTCCAGTCATGAGCTATATTCCAAATATAGCCCTAAAATAATGCAAAACTCATATTCAGCCATAGGCTAAATAAAATTTTGGTCAAATTTGGAGGGCCACATTTAGCTCTTTAACCCTCCAACCAGGCCAAATGTAGCCCAGCTTTATCCTATGCCAAATTTTTTTTGGGCCTCATGCATTTGCTTTTCAACATATATATTTTTAAGTCTTTTTAAATGTTTCAATTCGCGTTGTTAAGAAAAAAGTATAAAAAATTATTGGTCATGACCATTGGAGGTCAGACCATTGAAACCCATCCTCTTTTCTTCTTTTTTTCTTTTTTTATAAATGTGGTCACCTTTTTAAATGTTTTCAAGTGTTGTTTAAAAAAATTATAAAAAATTATTGGTCATGACCATTGGAGATCAGAATATTTGAAATACTTTTTTACTTTTTTTTTAATTTTAAATGTGGTCACATATATAGAATATTGTCTCTAAATAGTAGTTTAATTAAATTAAACAATATATAGTTGTGGAATGTATGAGTGTAGTACCATAGTTTTTCTCAAAATAATAAAATATGAAGGAGCCTTAAATATAGCGCTGCATGGTTGGAGATTAAAAAATGTCATCTCCAATCATAAGGCTAAATATAGTCCAAGCCTAAAAATTTAGCCCTCCAAAATATTAATTTTAAAAAAAATAGTGTAGGGCTAAATTTTTCCAGAGTAATGCTACACTTACCACATTTATATCCCACATTTTTATATCACCTTATGTGGCAGATGAAGTGGACAATCACATCAATTAAAAAGTGTCAATAAATCATAAAAATTAAGAAAACTTTAAATTAATTTTAATTGATGTGTTGTCCACCTCATCTGCCACATAAAGTGGTATGAGAATGTGGTATACAAATGTGGTAAGAGTAGCTTTATTCATTTTTCCATCTCCAGTCATGCAGAGCTATATTTTAGGGTCTTTCATATTTTATTATTTTCAAAAAAATTATGGTACAACACCCATACATTCCACAACTATGTATTGTTTAATTTAATTAAACTACTAAAGACAATATTCCATGACCAATAAGTTTTTATAATTTTATTTAAACAACACTTGAAAACATTTAAAAATGTGACCACATTTATTTATTTATTTATTTAAAGGATGGGTTTTAATGGTCTGACCTCCAACGATCATGGCCAGTAATTTTTTATAATTTTTTTACTAATAAAACATTTTAAAAAGTGACCACATTTATATAAATATATATATATTTTTTTAAAGGTTGAGTTTCAATAGTCTAACCTCCAATTGTCAAGACCAATACTTTTTTATAAATTTTTCTTAAACAACACGAATTGAAAACATTTAAAAAGGCTTTTAAAAATATATTGATGACGTCAACACTTTTATTGTTAGTTATTGGATATGCATTTGCACGAGTTGATTCGTGCTCTTGCTCACACTTGATAATTTATCTTCTTTAAAAGCACATGCATGGGACCCACAAAAAATTTGGCCTAGCTAAAGCTAGGCTAAATGTGGCCAAATTTGGGCTGGAGATGAGTTTTGCATTATTTTAGGGCTATATTTGGGATATAGCCCATGGCTGGAGATGACCTTATACCCCAATTTTGGTCAAATTTTTGTGTGGGCCAAGTGCATGTTCTTTTCAAGAAAAAAAAATTTTGCGCGTGGCCAAGAACACGAAACTTTTGTTAGAACTATAAATCCAACAACTAATGACGTCAGCTAGCTGTTAAGTTTTTTTTTCAAATAGCCTTTTTAAATGTCTTAAAATTCATTTTATTTTAAATATATATATATGACCATTGGAGATCAGAACCATTGAAACGCAGTCTTTTTTTATTTTTTAAAATTGCCTTTGTTGGTTTTATTATTATTATTTAAAAAAAATTAAAAACCTACAATATGTCTATAAATACCTCAAAATTTCTTCAAAAATTTTCCCAATCATTTCATTCCACATTTCTTACAAATTCTATCACATTCTCTACTTATTCACAACTTTCCACACTTTTCTTTTTATCAAATATCTTCCACACGCATTTCATCCAAACATTTCCTATAAATTTATTTTCTTTACTTATTTTGTTATTCATATTGTTTGAAAAATGTCTCGGACTTTGAAGGGACGAAATTGGTCACGAGTGGAAGATGAACATCTTTGCAAGGCTTTTATAAAAGTCTCCGAAAATAGCGTTGTGCGTACTAACCAAAAAAGCAGTGGGCTTTGGGAATGCATCTCACAAAAATACACAAAGGCATCATCAATCGAAAACACTCCATTTATTGACATTTGAAGATGAAGATAAAAGGTGCCACGTACACGTGTTAAATGCTTATCAATGTACACGTGTCATATATGGAATATTGTCTCTAAATAGTAATTTAATTCAATTAAACAATACACTGTTGTGGAATGTACAAGCGTTGCACTATAGTTTTTCTCAAAATAATAAAAAAACTAGCCCCTGTGCCAATTGGTTTTATTTTTTATTTTTTATTTTATTTTTAGAATTAAGAAAAGATAACATGGGTAGTTATATTCCATAAAAGTATGACCTATTATCTAATTTTGTTTTTAATTTTATTTTTTTAATATAAAAAAAATGTGAATTTACCATATTATCCTCATTTAATTAATAATTTCAATTCTTAATGTTTGAATTAACCAATGGTATTTTATGATATTTTGAATGTTTCATCATTCTCTGCCTTTTGTTTTATATATATAGATGAATGACCCTAAAATATAGCACTACATGACTGGCGATGGAAAAATTTAACCATACACTATTCTTTAAAAAATTTAATATTTTAGAGGGCTAAATTCATAGCCATGGACTACATTTAGCCATATGACTGGAGATGACCTAAAGTAAGAAGAAAGAAAGAGACCCAATTTCAATTTTTAATGTTTACTTAATCGAAATTTGATATATATGTTATTTGTGAAGGAGGTTGAGGTTCCACCCCAAAACCAATTGATAATGGGGGTAGTAGCCCAACTCCTTAGAGCACTTCCAACAATGGCTCATTGCCCAGGCAACAAGGGGCCCAAGTCCCAATTTGTAGTTCCAGCAGGCTTCTATAGCCCTGGCAGCACATGGGTCCCACCAAACCAGGCCAACCCAAAGGCAAGAATAACCTAGGTTTGCCGATGTCAGCGACGAATTTAAAAAAAAAAAATCTTAAAAAATACTAAAATTTCCAGATTTTTTTTTTAAAATAAATAAATACTTAGCCATATTCTTCACTTCCCACACTAAAACTCTATACAAATTTCTCTCCTCATATCTCATGTGAATAGTGATTGCCAAGGCAATGAATGGAAACACTACAAGCCTTTTGCAAGGGCTGCCACTATTCACATAAATAGTAACAGCCCTTGCCCTTTGCCATGGCAAATGGCTGGAAGCAAGGGCGGAGCTAGGATTTTATATTTGAGGGGGCCAAAATGTTAAACACAAAAAGTTTAGTTGTATATTTTTTTTGGCCCATTGAGTAAACTATTGCGTACAAAAGAACTAATTGAAATGAGTGGTTTTTTTTTTCATAAATGTAGTATGATTTCACTATTCATATTAAAATACCATTTTGACAAGTATTGATTTGTGGTGAGG